CAACTCAACCTAAGTAATTACAACTCTTTAAAAAATAAAGACTAATGGGCCCAAGGCCCAACAACATCTTAATTTAAAAGGAAATAAACTAAACACAAGTCGGCCCACTCAACAAAAAGCACCCTATCTCGATTGCCAACTTACTTTCTACCATTCTTCTTTATCTCAACAGAATTGCAGAAAAGTTGGGGAAAATCCAAAGGGACTTCCTACGGAGAGGATGGCAGCAAAGAGACAAAATACATCTAGTGAGTTGGGACCAAGTATGCGTTCCATAATCAAAAGGAGGGGCTAAGAACCAAGAAAATGAAGGAAATGAACACTGCTTTGATTGCAAAATGGTTATGGGGATTCAATTTGTCCAGCCACATCTCCTTTGGAGACGAAACATTTCAGAAGTTTGGGGTTAGAAATGTGAACTGGGATCCAGGTATCGTCAAGATACCTCATGGTTGCTCTTTATGGAGAGGAATTGGAAATTCCACAATAAATTCCTCCAAGGAATTGAATTGAAAATGGGTAAGGAGGACAAAATCAATTTCTGTATATAGAGATACTTGGTACAAAGGCAGATCCCTGATAGGCATGTTTCCCTCCTACATTATTGTAAAAACAGAGATGCTACTGTGCTTGACTCGTATGATTATCAAGCTAGGGTAGTGTCTTGGTGCCCAACATTGAAAAGGAACTTGACTGGTTGGGAAATAGAGGAGTTGGCATCACCGTTCAGGCTACTCAATAGGGCCTTCCGCCTGCCCGAATCCAAAACAAGAAGATACAACAAGTTGGAGGTGGGAGAAGTTGGGGAACCTCTCTCACTTTTATTATTATTATTTTATTTTTTTTTTGGATAAGCTCTTTGTCAAATCATTTTACAAGCAACTAGCTAGTAACCCTAATACAGCTTTCCCTTACAAGTATGACTGATCCACATCCCTTCCAAAGTTGCATTTCTGATGTGATCTGTGGTCCTGGACAGATGTCTCACTAGAGACTGCTTAGAAGAGGTGTCAGAATACAATCAGAAACTTGCATAATCTGTGGGAGAGACAGAATCTACTTTGTTTTCGTAGTGTGCAGTAGTGATATGGATATAAACTCACTTCTGCAACCTGCTCAATCTTTCACGTTGCTTTCCAGAAAGGGTGATAGATCACTTGTATCCCTCTGGAAAGTGAGGAGAGTAAGTGGGAAAAGAAGGAAGTTATGAAGCGCTATTCTGCAGCAATTTCTGGGAGCATTTGGAAGGAGAAAAATCAGACAGTATTCCAGAACCAAAGTTGCTCAGTTGATGAACTTACCAAGAAAATTATAGGAACCATTCACTCTTGGCTTGCTGCAACATATCACTTCAGTAATATATCTCATCACAATTATTTTGAACCTGCTACTTGCAGGATTAATGGAGCATTATATATACTTTTGCATAGTGGCTCACTGTACATGGCGATACTTGTTCATGCTTTCAATAGTTGGATAAATATAATACTTTACCTTCTGCTCAAAAAAAAAATAAAAAATAAAAAAAAAAACAGTCAAGGTACATAGTAGTGGAAGGAGATTCCAGAAGTAGGATTGGATGATTAAGGAAAAACAGTCAAAGGTTCATGGCATTGCAGGCATGCCTTAAGAGAAATGAACATCGTGAAAATAGAGTTTTAACAGCTAAGTGGGTCTCAAGATCAGTTAAGACCCTAGCCAATTCACATGCAAGACAGGGGATGAGCAGGGAACTTTTGTTTTAGGAGTAACAATTGAGAATTGTATGGAAAAACAAATTTGAAATGAATGAAGTGGTTAGGTAGTGACAATGAGTCCAACAATTGCATATAGCATTCTTTTTCTGAATAAATTAAGTTATACTATTAACCATTAAAAAACATTCAGATTGTAAAAGAATTGGCAGAATTACATTTTTTAGAAAGAAAAATGAGCATTTTTAAACAATCAACATGCACCCATGCTATCGATTTTAATAACATCATTGGATAAACCCAAAATAAACAAAAACAAAAGATCCAAGACTAAGATTTAGTGTGGTTAGTCATACTACCTGGAATGGCAGAATCTTCTGTTTATCACGATCATAAGCAACCACTTCACAGTCAAGAACAAATGATTTAACAGAGGACTTCTTCACTCTGCACTACCAATAGAGGTTAGAGATCATAAGGACCAATAGACAACTTTTTGAAATTGAACCTACACAAGAAATACTCTAATCCATCATATAAACGACTTAAGATAAAGAACCTCAATACCAGTGTGCAACAGCTATTAAAGAATCTACCCAATTATCATAAAACTAAGGCTACAGATGACAAAGCAATCTATATATATCATAGAGATGACCAGCACAGATGTATACAAATCTAACTAGCTGTAGAAATCCCACAGATTATCTAGCACCAAGCATGGAATTAATAAATGTACCTATTCAGTAGCTCTCTTTGTACAATATTTAACTTCAAGAATGGTATGCAGTAGCACTAAAATCATAAAATTACCAACCCATGTTCTAAAACCCAACTGGCATGGCCATCCAGACCGGCCTTCCAACCATACCTGTGACCAGTCAATAATACAGCAGATTATTAGAAGCCACACAAGAGAAATATCAGAGAGAAGCTTCCCCCAATCAACGATATTCACATTTAAAGGGTATTAAGGACTTTTATTCATGTTTAAAGGGTATTAAGGTCTTTTCTTCCTGTATATTGCCACCCGCTAAGATATGATTTGGAGAGTACACATTTAGGAATGAAAGACCAATTGTTACTATCTGTTTTAGCTAAGATTCTAGCATCAATAGGACTTGGTTAAGATAGCTCTAGAGTCAATCTATTTGTTAGTTGTTATTGGGTTTCATTTTCTTTAAAATTTTCTTTTTTAACAATTGGGTTTTATGAGGAGTTTAAAGGAGAAAGCCCATAAAGTAACCTGCTTTACACAGAAAAAGGTAAACTACTTCTTTTTCTTCACTTGTAATCTTATTAGAGGAAAGAGTAATGTATGTTGGCCATTGCATGAATTTCTACAAGTATAGCCAATGGATTAGTTATAGATTTCAAGATTGAAATTTAATTGAGATTATTTAGGGATTTTACTGCATAAATTGATTGATCACTTCTATCCTGTTTTAACTTAATTTCTTTGCTCATAAATGTTAGTTTGAAGTATTCTCTTGGACACGTGTTGCTGCAACATGTTAACAACTCTAAACAACTTATTGACACAATCAGTTAAAATCAACATACCTAGAAAGTATTCATGTTCTGCAGCTGGCGCTGTCTTGATTGGGATCACTTCCAGCCAAGTTGGAACAGCCATTAAAAAATATATGATAAACTGGTCATAGCCAGTCAAAAGCACAAATATTTTTCAATAGAATGGTGTCCAAATAGAGTGGAAATAATATGAGCATGAAGAGCTGTTTTTTTTTTCATGTTTCCTAGACACTACTCTTGCGGGTAAGGAAGATAAGAGCAAGAACAAAATGTGAAAACGACTGAGCAAAGCCAACCATCTTGACCAGATCAACTTATCCATTATTATCTTTAGATCGAACTCCAGACTTATAATACTTAAAAGGAAAATGTTGCTAAGAGCAATCGCGCAAACAAAATCTTCTGCACATCTCAACTGTCTGATCTGCTTGAGACTTGAGATTGGAGCTTGGTATTAGGTGGACCTGGACCACACTGAAAAATACCAGAGAGTGAGCATGGGTGTGATTAGGGTTGGAAAAAGAAAAATGTAGTCTGGAGTTAATCATGGACATCCAATATGGCTTGATCCTGGATCCTTTGCACCCACTATTGACAGACCATGGTCAAGAGTCTTAGTGTGTGAGTGCTCTTTGCCACAACAGTATATGCAAATTGCAAACCACTCACCAAAAAAAAACCTTCAACTTGCAACAAGACTATATTTTACACTAAACATGGTTTGATCCTGGTGCAGTCATATTGTATCGTGCTCTCTCATTAGATCTCTCCCATTCACCCACTGTCAACAGATGACGGTCCAGAGCCTTTGTGCTTGTGAAAGTGCTCTTGCAACAAAAGTCTATGCAAAAACATTGCAGCATACATATATACATACATGCATGCAAGCATATTCTAAACTCTATGTTGATTTATAAATAAGAAAAGGACTTCATCCAACACAAAACAAACAATTCTACCAATAAAAGACGTACCTTTTAACAGAGTGCACAACATCAGGAAATTTTCCAGTATTTCGTTCAGCATTTCGACTATATATTTCAACTGAACCATCTTCCATATAATGTATCTGAATTGAATGACAAATCGCATATAGAACATGAAACAGATATGAAGGAAAGGTAGTAATAAACTGGAAATTTACAATCACCTGAGCACGTTCTCCATCATACTTGTATTCACAGGTGAATTCTGTGTCCTGAAATTTATCCAAAATTTCAGATACACCTTTGGTTGGTTTTGCCAACATAGGTCCAACCGGTACACCTAAAGTAAAGTTGCATGTCTCTTGGAGCTTCCACACACCGCCACTAAGAAGAGCAGGAACAATTTTATCATAGATAGGAAGTACAGAGTAAACTTGTTTGACAATTTTTGCAGCCTGAAAAATAGAATAAAATAAAAGCCATGACTGAGAAAAAATGCATAATATCAGGAAATAGTCAGGTATCTAATTACACGTAAGGAAAACTAAACCCTTTCTTGCAGATTACTAATCCCATGCTCACAGACTTTTTTGTAAGTAGAAATTGTACTAAAACAACAGGGAGAAAACATCTAGATCAAATTTCCACCAAGGATCCCCAATCAATGGATAAAAGAAGAAACCAGTACCCAAAAGAATCATTGGAAACACTGAATGCCCTGAATTAGAAAAAATAACAAAACATCTCATGGAAATTTTTACATGGGGAAGTACAAAAGGAAAATAGTCTCATAATATTGTCAATTTACACTTCATGTGTTCTGGAACTTTCTATTATTGTGCAAAGGACTAGGATATCAATAAGAATTTCATGTCCATTCGGAAGATGCAATAGCGGGCTTCATCTACTTAATGCACAAAGAGGAATTAAGATTTAGGTGAAGAATCAAATAGCATTGAGGCAAAAAATTTGATTGCTATAGAAGTAGAAATACAGAAGGGCATTCTTACATCTAATGCTCCATTGTCACGGGGGTAGTTCTACAGCGGAAGAAACCCGTGCGGCGTCCTGGCCGAGGCAGGCCAGGACAAGCCTTTCTGCGCTTAGAGGCTAGGAGTTGCCCGATGGGATGGCTCCACCAACGTCAGTAGCACTGGATCATGACCTCAAGTCCA